AAGGGGTTTGGTTGGATGGGCAGGGATAGATAGTAAGGAAGAAAGGAAGGAAGGAAGGAAGGAACTCTTACGTTTCGATTATCTCACTCAAGCTCCCGAAATCCCACAGTCGTAACGAAACACCATTGCTCGAGCCCTGTCTCCTAGCCTCCTTAATCCCATCCCGCGTCGTCAGAACTGCGGTATCTATAACGGCAATCTCGCCTTTAGCGCGGAGTTCGGACACGAAGGAGCTCCAGCTCGGGCACTTGACCTCTTCCTTCAAGATGGACGTTTCGAAGAGCGTGATGGGGAATTTGGCCAGGAGGTCTTGGAACAAGGAGGCTTTTTGGGGACTGGTGAGCGTGCTGGATTCTAGGGCCGTGAGAGAGATGGAAATGTGCCCTGTGTGCCCGGCGGTGTGGATTGTGTGCACGAGGAGGTGGAGGGCTTCTTGGGGGGATAAGGAGGGCACGCTGAATGTGCCTGTTGAGGTTGTGTTTGTTGCTAGATGATCAGTTAGCTATTAGCCTCTTCTATAGTATATATAGGTAGGCATAGATAATGTAGTCTGGGTAATTTGCATCTCATTTCATTTTATTTCGATAGGAAGGAAGGATGCTAAGAAAGAGGGGTGTGGGGCTAAGACGTACCCAGATGACCGGACTTCTCATCCAGTGCGGCTTGCAAACACTGGTACGTATCAGTGCCCATCTTTACGGCGGAGCTGAACGTCGTGGCTCCCAGAGGCACGATGCTGAATTCCATGTCTGAGGTGCTGAGGATGGAGAAGAACGGCACTGGTAGCATGTATGGCTTGGGACTGTTGGAGATGAGGCGGAGGTGTTCGTAAAGGGGGATATTCTGCATCACGTGTTAGATTTCTGCTCTTCTTCTTCTCTCTGAATATAATGAATGGGGATCGGGTCTTATTTCTGTGCAAGTTTTGGGAGCGAGTATAGTAGGATCCAATGGAAGGATTTCAGGATTCGCATGAATAAAGAAAGAAAGAAAGAAAGAAAACTGTAGATACTTACAAGACCATCAGCACCAGCCCTTGCAACTGCCACACTAACCGCCAACCTCTCCTCTTTCCCCAACGTAACAATCTTCTTCTCACTACTCGATTCAGCGACAAAAGTATCGATTTTGCTCTGGTCGGTCCGTACATCGAAGCGCGTGCCCAGCAGCCGGGGCGCGATGATGTCGGAGGTGTTGTAGATGCCGTGGTGCACGTGCTCTGGGCTGGCGAGGGGCACCAGGGAGGTGTATGTTCCTCCGGTTGAGGTGGTGAGTTTTACTTGCAGGGCGGGGGAGCCAGTTGCGTCGAGCCGCCGGGAGGCTTTGAGGGATTTGATATTTGCAGACATTTTTTATGTCGGTTTGTATTTCTTCTTTCGTTTGATCTTGGTCAAGAGCTGTTTGGCAGGACCAGTTGGGATAATTTATTATTTATATCTATGGTTATGAAAAGTATGCGCTTGGGGTGGCATGATTTTCGTGGAGAGAAAATAATTCGACGGTGGCTAACTGGTGATTATGGAAGTGGCGTGATTTTGATCAAGTCACACCCTCTAGATATGTCCAACGAAAAAATGATGTGGAAAATGGCAGAGAATTCAGGTGAGATATATTGTTATTGTTTGCCTTTTCATATTCATATGATGCATTTTAAAGTATAAGTAGTTGCGCAAATGAGGAATTTCCAACGCCATCTTTCGCTACCCATATTTCAGCCAAAACAATTAAATACTTATAATTTTTATGCTCCAGCAAGCTTAGCTAATCCCTCCAAGTTGATACTCTTTGGCCGCTCAATTGGAAGACCCAGCGCACGATCCCAGATCAATTGGGCGAGAGGTCCTAATCCTCTGCTTACACCAAAGGTAGCGGTGTAGTATAATGTCTCGTGGAATCCGTAATGATGGAACAGAACACCGGAGCTGGAATCAACGTTAGGGTATGGGTTCTTGGTCTTTCCATGCTCCTTCAACACTTCTGGGGCGATCTCTGAATTCTTCTTGACCAGTTGGAACACTGGGTCCTTGGCGATTTCAGGTCGAGATGATGCGTAATCCATCAGAGCCTCGAATCGAGGATCTGGCTTACGGAGAACTGCATGACCGTAACCTGGGACTACTCGGCCGGACTTGAGGGTCGACCAGAGGTAGTCGGATACGTCTTTGTCAGAAAACTTGGTTCCTACACTCTCTTGCATCTGTAAAATCCATCGCAAGACTTCTTGAGCGGCAAGACTATGGCATGTTAGTCAAGCAAATAAGCGATTGTCTTTCGACTTACCCGTGAAGTGGGCCTGCGAGACCTTGGAGACCGGCACTGTAACTCAAGAACGGGTCGCTCAACGCGCTACCAACCAAATGTGTAGCATGAGCTGAGACATTTCCACCCTCATGGTCACCATGAAGAGCCAAGTATAATCTCAGGAGATCTTGGAAGTTTTCATGCTCTTTTCCTCCTTTACCAAGCATAGCAGCAAAGTTGTAAGACCAGTCTTGCTCCAAGTCGACCTTGGCTGGCAGAGCTCCACCTCCTCGGTATGAATTTTGGTAGATCTTGGCAGCAATAGTAGGAAGCTTTGCGAGGAGAGAAATACTGTCGTCGAAGGTTGGCTCCCAGTAATCAGCCTTGTTGACACCCTTCTCGTACGCCTTGGCGAATTTCGAAGTGTGGGAGAGAGCCGAGACGGCAATTGCGAATTGGGTCATTGGGTGGAGATCTATTGGGAAGTCATCGAGCATCTTGCCTACAAAAGCAGGGAGTTCGGATTGTTCTGCGAGTTCCCGAGAGAAGTTTCGGACTTGGTTCGTGGAGGGGACTTGGCCAGTCAAGAGGAGCCAGAACATGGCTTCTGGTAGCATTTCTGTGCCAGTCTTTCCTTTCGGGAGCTCTTTTTGGCATTCCTTGATTGTACGACCATGGAATCGAATACCCTCGTTTGCATCAAGAACCGAACCCTCCCAGACCATGGCCTTCAATCCTCTATCGTCCGTCAGCACCGCACTCATTCCAGTAAAGCCTCTGGGCAAAGCGTTTCTCGCAATTCCTACCTCATGCCGCCTAGTGTGTTCTCAACCTTGACCTCTCCAATAACCTTGTCGCCTAATGCCTTGACCTTCTTCAGGAGCTCGCGCTTAGCAGGGAGGACCTCCTTGAAGGTAGTCTTGAGGTCTGGCTCGGAGGAAGTCACATAGCTGCGACAGGCAGGAATAACCGCAGGACGAACAGCAATGGGCTACAAAATGATCAGCAATGATACCTGGAAACGTCCACCGCAGTGTTTCTTACTCGAAATGCCCTCAATGCCTGGGAGGCTGATCTAGCATTCATGGCCATGTCGGTGAGCTCTGACGCGGGGTATCTGCCGTGGGGTAATCCGGACGGTTAATGCCTGGTAATAGAACAGAGGCAGGGTGTAGAGAAATATGGATTCGAGGAGGTGATCCAGAATAGAATAGACTCCTAGCTTGACTTGAAATTGTTTGTTTGTTGGGGGTTTTGGTGAAGAATGCAGGTTAATGGAGCTTTTGAAGTTCCTAAAGTACTCACGCAGCCAGCCCAGCTTCAATTGAGCCGAGGATGAGTTCGGCGCATGGGGAAAATCATCGCACCGACGCCACCCTATGCCGAAACAACCATTTGCCCCATCCGTCCCTGTACCATACCATTCCCGATACCGGAATCTGAAAAGGTTGTTGCGATGATGAAGTAGGAACAAATGTAAAGAGTTTCTTTATTTCTCATCTTGTCTTTTCTCTTGGTGATCCAAAATGTTTCGCAGAGCTGTAATAACCTTTCCGCGGCGAGCGGCCGGGGCCACTGTCACGGCTACAGCGAGGTCTACAAACCAGCATATTCGAACCCTCTCAGTAGCAGCTCCAAGGATGGCCCCATTGAAGCCTCTTGATAATCCAATAACTGCGACTCTTCCCTCGGATTCCTTCCAGCTACTCCCCGAATCCCAAAAAGCTGGAGCGGCTGAAGACGCGCTGTACGAACAACAAATCAAGGATGTACAGACTTGGTGGGCAAGCCCAAGATATGAGGGGATCAAGAGACCCTACTCGCCAGCAGATGTTGTATCGAAACGAGGAAGCCAGCTGCAGTCATATCCAAGCTCCGTGATGGCAAGAAAGCTGTTTAATTTGATCAAGGAGAGGGAGGCCAAAGGAGAGCCAATACACACAAGTAAGTTCACGCCCATTCATGGAGGGGCGAATCTAACATATCCTAGTGGGTGCCATTGATCCTGTACAAATGACCCAACAAGCACCAAATCAAGAGGTCCTATATATTTCAGGCTGGGCATGTTCCTCGGTGCTCACATCAACGAACGAAGTTTCTCCCGACTTTGGCGATTACCCATACAATACCGTACCAAATCAAGTCCAAAGACTCTCAAAAGCACAATCGATGCACGACAGAAAACAGTGGGATGCGCGGAGGAAGCTCAGTGCCGAAGAGCGTGGGAAGACCCCATATACCGATTATTTAAGACCCATTATCGCAGATGGAGACACTGGACATGGCGGGCTCTCTGCAGTTCTAAAATTAGCAAAGCTTTTTGCTGAGAACGGAGCTGCTGCCGTTCACTTTGAGGACCAAATGCATGGAGGGAAGAAGTGCGGACATCTTGCTGGCAAGGTTCTGGTACCAGTTGGAGAACACATCAATCGCCTGGTCGCAGCAAGATTTCAATGGGACGTTATGGGATCAGAAAATCTCGTAATTGCAAGAACAGACTCGGAGAGTGGCAAGCTTCTTTCCAGCGCGATCGATGTCCGAGATCACGAATTTATTCTTGGGGTGGCAGAGGAAGGTATTGAACCATTGGCGGAAACATTACAAGCCATGGAGATGTCGGGAGCAGCGGGGTCCGAAATCGATGTGTTTGAAGCGGAGTGGGTACAGAAGACCAAATTGGTCACTTGCGACGAAGCTGTTGTCAAACAGCTAGAATCGCATAGAGTTTCACAATCGAAAATTGACGAATATCTTCAGGTGACAGCAGACAACCGGGATATGTCGATTACGAAGAGGAAATTACTCGCCTCAAAGTTCACCGACAAGCCTATCTACTTCAACATCGATATTCCACGAACAAGAGAAGGATTCTATCACTACCGTGCGGGTATGAAGGCAGCTACGAAAAGGGCGATCGAATACGCCCCTTTTGCTGACCTTTTATGGGTTGAGACGGGTGACCCAAATGTCAAGAACGCTGCTCAATTCTCGGGCGAGATTCGGGAGAAGTATCCCGGAAAAGGACTCGTCTATAATCTTTCTCCGTCGTTCAATTGGATGGGACATGGTTTTAATAATGAGACGTTAAAGTCTTTTATCTGGGATATTGCGAAGCATGGCTTTGTTCTGCAATTAATCTCTCTCGCTGGACTGCACAGCACGGCTACAATCTCAAATGAGTTGAGCAAAGCATTCAAGGACGATGGAATGTTGGCGTATGTTGACTTAGTACAAAGGCGAGAGAAGGAGCTGGGCGTGGATGTTCTCACGCATCAGAAGTGGAGCGGTGCAGCTTATATTGATGGGATTCTTGGTGCTATCCAAAGCGGAAGCAGCAGCAGCAAGAGTATGGGAGATGGAAATACTGAGGGCCAGTTCTAGATCTTGAACATGGAAGGCGTTCAGGGATGGATATAACTAACTACATACAAGCCATTTATTCATTTCCTGTATTCTCTCGCAAGGTAGAGATGCTTCGATTTCTTGGTGCGTTATGAACTGTTCTGGGCTCGTAATGCCATTTCTATATCTCGTCCATCTTTTTGCTTTTCTTTTGCGTCGACGAGTGTTTTTCAGCTTATAGTCTAACCCCTGTAAAGAGTATTCTCTGCGAGGCATTGTCCATCAATTTCGCTCTATTACCTCTTGTATATGCGCGAATTAGGAAACGGCTCAAGTCAAGCCTCTGCCCAAACTCTCAGCATGTCTCGTTTCTCCTCTGAAATAGTCTTCTATCTCTGTATCTTACTCCATCAATCTGCCTCGGGGTCCATTCGGATCTCCCCGCGATTGCGTCTCGTGGTAACAGCTTCCGCAAACATCATTTCCAATCTAGAAATGCACTCTCTAGCCGCATCCTCCTCGCATCAACGCAAAGGGATTAGTGTGGTACTGATCGAACAATTTCTTCTAGATTTGGGCGGAGAGGAATACTTGGCTTTTTCCAATAGTGACGAAAAGAGGCTGTGTGAGAAGTTGGGATTTAAGCTGACGAGCGAGAATAGAGTTCATTTCAGAGGATTGGGTAGGGTGAGGAGTCGTAGGTTTTGAGTTTCTTGAAGAGGGAGGGAAAGGAGTCTCGGATGTATCCAAGTGGGCTGTTCTTCCGTACGGAGTAAAGGTTCGGAGTAAACATCTTACCTCTTGCAGACACTAGGCAGCAACGCCTTCCTTATGCATACGAATACGTACATATATCCCTGATCAGAGTTAGTTTAAAGCCTGGTCACATTACACACATTACAAAGCATATAAATTTCTATCCACTCCATCATTCCCTCCTTTCTTTTCCAGCTCAGAATCCATACCCCTGTCATATTACAAAGCATATAAACCCTAAATCCATCGCATTCACTCCCCCCTTTCTCCCCCTTAGAAGTACACAAAAATCCATAATGTCCACCCCCCAAATAACAATCCGCCCCGCCGAAGCGGCTGATATCCCAGCCCTCGCCCGCATCGACCTCCTCGCATTCTCATCCCACCCCCTCATCACCAACGGATTCCGCTCCCCCCCCCCCAACCGTCCAACAAGCTCTATTGCTCTCCCGCTGGTCCTTTCACTTTACCCACAACCCCTCCTACCGCTTCCTCGTCGCCACCACTACCCCCGGCAACGAAATCGCCGGTTTCGCGGTGTGGAAGCAGTACACGACGGAAGAAGAACCGGATTGGGCCCCAGAGTTACCCGAGGGCACGAATGTTGACTTTCTACAGCAGTTTTTTACCGAGAAGGCGAGGATGGAGGCCGAGTATAACATGAAGCAGTTTCATGTTCTTGAGTTCCTGGCGGTTTCGCCGGATTTTCAGAGGAAAGGTGTGGGCGCGAAGTTGATGGGGGCTTTTGTGGATGACATGGAAGCGCAGGGGAAGGGTGACGGTGGCAGTGGGAGGGGAAGTTTTATTGTTAGTACGCGGGAGGCGAAGGGGTTGTATGAGAAATGGGGATGGAAGGTTTTGAAGGAGAATGTGTTTGATTTGAAGAAATGGGGCGCTGAGGTGGCGTGGATTAATTGGATAATGAAGAAAGAGGCAGAGGAGTGATAGAAAGACTAGAAAGAAGAATTCATGTCTTTTTAACGCTTTTATTTTATATGTATTATACTGCTACGTTTTGTCCTCTAGTTCCCCCCAAAGTCCGTGCGGTTTTCTATTATAGTCGCCTTGAATCAAGTTTTTTTTTTTATTACACATTAATTTACAATGGTTTTGGTTTACAACTCTGAATCCAACTTCAAACCAGGGCCAATCCCATTACCAAAGTCTGTCTTCTGTCTCGCCTAGCATCAATTCTAGCTTCCTCATATCTCTTTTGGATGCCACTTCCATAGCTGGCTACTAGATCCGAGCCCATTGCCCTTCGGCCGAAAAACGGATGCAGTCGTCTATAACCCACTGCTCCCAGATGGCATTTTCACCATAGATAACGTCCTCCAGTATCGCTCTATGCTGCTCGAAGCTTCCATCCGTTAGATGGACGCCAGCAGACGCTTCGCCCTCCATTAACCGAGTGCACATATCCTGTACCAAGACCTGTCGCCATTGACCGATGGATTTGCTGGTCCATTGACTACCTACGGTCTGCTTAAACCATGGGACCTCGCTCGCTTGCTGCACGCGCCACTGCTGCCGGGTATTTGCTGCTTCGACTGTCATCGGCACTGCTTGGGAAGTTGCCTTTCCAGGTTCCAAGGGCGAGGGTAGTGAGTTCCTGCTGATGCCGCTGGGACCTGTGGGCGGTGGTGTAGGCCGAGATGCACGGCCGGATTTCCAATTTGAACGAATGTCTGCGCTGTTGCTTGTGCGGGGTAGTGCTGGGAAGATAGATTGTTGGGATGATTGGCCATTGGTGAGACAGGTTGTGGAAGTTTGAACTGGAGCTGGGGCTTTCAGCACCTGGCTATAGAGAGGCTTTCCTGAGGGTATGTGTGGCCGAAGCGCAAGCGATTTTGCTAGTCGCTCGCAACTAAAAAGCTCCATGGTCTTGTTGTTGGAAGATGGTTCGTTTGCAGGTGATATCCTGCGAGGTTTCAGATTCAAATTTCCTTGGAATTGAAGGTTGAGATGTAAGATTGTTAGAAGTTAATGGCTACTTACTGTCAGAGAAAACAGACAGGTATGTATGTGAAGCTATGTGAAGTTGTGAAGTTGTGAAGTTTTGGGAAGAAAGAAAGGCAAGAAGTAGGATTATCTATAGGCGCTTAAATAGCATAATTTGAATCTGGACTGGGAGTAGTTAACAAAATACCCATGAAAAATGATATGACTGTTTGACGGGATCTAAATGTACCCGCAAGTGTCAGACTTATTGAGTTTTAGCATGAAAGTCTAAGTCACTTAACTCGACCCTAAGTTTGAAGCGAACCAAAAAAGCTAAGATTTCTACCCTCAGTCTAGATACTAGATTTCATTCCTGTTTGAGATTACTAGATGGTATACCCAACTGTTGTGTAGAAACTATGACGGTAAGTTTTAGATAGATCCCTAACACGCCTTAGTGACGAGCTTTTATATTAACCTCGCAACTTCTAATGACCTGGTGTATAAGGATGTATTTGTATGTTTATTTTATATCGGGGTTACCATATTGTGCAGCTGATGCTCGAATTAATGAAATGCATTTTAAAATGACGATTTAGAAAGATTTAGTCTAACCAGCGATTACGCCAGTCCCTTTACTAGTCAATCACCCTATATTCTGCTTTATTACACAATATAATATCTTCTTGCTATTTGCCTTTTCAAGTTGTATATCTCTAGTTCAACGTACAATGGACTGATGTATATTTTATTTGAAAGTTAAATCTTTCTAAAGACGGGACGCGTTATATATAATGTTTTGACGGTGACGTATGAAGGCCTTTTTGTCAAAGCATTATTTGAAGCCGGCTACAGGTGCTTAAGCCACCTTCTATAAACCACTCTTTGATGTTTGAGGCAGAGGAGCTCTAACTCGAGCCGGGAAATATTCTTCTTATTGTTTTTTCCCAGTTGTTCATCAAGCCCCTGACTAACCGATCCCGCTACCCCTAATTAAGCGAAGGCTCTAGGTGGGATGTATCTGAATTTCGTTTCCACATCCCAAGGTCCCAACTAGACGGTTTCCCCTGATTTATAGATAGGTCATTCAAGTGAAGGTCATTTGATAAATAGTCTAGCATAACCATTAGCTTACGTCGGCCTGAGCAGTTCCACAGGCTTTCAGAGGTTGCTCCAGCAGGCAATTCGGAGGACGCGCAACACTCTCTGTACGCTCTCCTCTTCTCCTTTTTATGTTTCAAATTACTTATAACGATCGGTTAGACCACTGTGCGTTACTAGCAGCTACCCCTGAGGCTTATACTAACTCGGTGACTCTTCAACCCTGGAACCGCTGATCTACCCAAGAGGGATCACACTAGTCTGCTGTGAGTGATTGTAGAAATATCTCCCGTCAAATCCAGATGCTGCTTTAATTTATGAAACTAGTGCGATTTGCTTACAAGACGTATTTGGTGTACGTTTTCACGTGTTATGGATACCTAAAGATTGCGGTGGGATTTACATGTGACAAGAGATACATACCTATTAGTGATGTTGAACCGAAAACTAGATTTAAAATGATAATATTACAAACATAAGGACATAAGGTCCTTTAGATAGGAAAATCAACGGGAGATGTGTTTTCTCAATCGCTTCGGAGGATTTGAACCCAATGGGGACTAATAGTTGTCTGCTCCACGGGGGGAAATATGAAGTTCTTTGAAGTGAATAACTTCGAACAAATCTGACAAGCGACCGAAGTTCCCTCAATGTAACTTTGGATGCAGGAATTTCCGAAAAGATGCCCGCAAGGTGTCGTAACGGGTCCATCCTGTTGTCCCATTATTTCATGGCACAAGGTGCAGTCCTTCTCGCCATCCTTCAAAACATCACACTTGATAGGTGTAAGAAGGTGAGGCATGGCCCGAGCTAAATTTTCCGCACGTTCTTGCTCTCCATACATGTCTTCAAACCGGGAGATCATCTCTGTCTTGAAGACCCTGCGTAATTTGAAAAACACGTAGCCTTGCTCGTACTGCTCCTGGGAAAGCCTTTCGAGGTCTGTTTTGGTCAGAAACGAAACTTCAAGACTAATAATGATATTTTGCAGCCAAAGAAAGTCAGAGTCGGTCAAACGCTCATCAAATCCAGCATCCTCATCTGTGTCGATTAAATCCTGGTATTTAATACGGAACTTTTGGGAAATTTTAAGGTCTCGGGGATCTATTTGAGCTGAGGTTCCGGATCGAAGTTCCTGTTGTGACAGTTTTACCACACAGGTGTGGCAATACATCTCGGATTGGATTTTGACCTCCTCGATTTCGAACTTGCAGTTTCCTGCTCGAGGGTGGTCACACGGACGACGCTCAATTGTCCGGCAATTGCATTTATGTGCCAAAATGTATTGCCGACACATCTTCGCTACGATCAAGAAAAGTTTTTACTTTATAACACGAGGTAGTAAGAATAATGTGCGAATAACGATAAGTAGAATGGGAACCGTGAAATTGACATCAAAACACACGAATTAATACGCATAATATGCTAGCTGTTCTTTGCCATCCAATAAAGAGTTTGACTTGTTCCTGATTTCCATTGTCACAGACAATGGAGAACTATGGGGTTATTATTTCTTTCATAGGCATTGTTGACTAATATATGAATAAAGGTTTTACGAGCACTATTGTTAAGTTTCGTGATCCTGTAGATTATTTCAGCTTATCCGACGAGAATGATTATTATGATTTGGTCTCTTTTTAAAGGAAAACAGTAAAACTCAGAAGATGAACACAACTACTGATATTCATATAAGATATACTTGATCTTTCAAACTTGCCATTCAAACACTTCTCAGGCCAAAAAAACATATTCGTCTAAAAGGCCCTGGGTATTTCAAGACTGCCATTTAAACACACCTTAGGCTAATTGTAAAGCCCAAAGGTCATGCGCGTAGAATACGTTGCACGATTTGAGAAATGTTGGCATCAGCTAATGCGTCCAGAGTTTATGTTTTGGTGCGACGCCAGGAGAGCCATCATACAAGACGATAATATGGACGCTGATAGCTTGAGGTCTCCTTGCCAATTAGCAACTTTCGAGCAGACGATTCCATTATATTGTCATCAATGCATGCTGAGCGCCGTCGCCTCCAACACAGGCGCCCCGGAAGTATTATTCGGCGAAAATTTCCCAGAGCGAGAAGGAACACGAAAGGCTGAGGCTGAGCGAATACTGTGCATAGCTCAAAGCCTACCTGTGAGTGCAGACCACAGCTATTTTGACAAAATTACAGGAAGAACGCATGTGTACGAAAGAACCAATATCCAGCTATTCCAAGGATATTTGACTGGAAAAGATTTCATTTGGTTGGGACTGATGGTGTCCGACATTACCGCCGTCATCTGGAAACGATGGGAAAGCGACGACCAGCCAAATCCCACCATTGAAGAGATAACCCTGCTTGTTCAGATACGGCAGGTATACGTTGGAGCCGTCATCCAATATAACTACGACTTGTGTCAATTTGTAGCGAGAGCTGATCAAATAATGCTTCAACTAGGGAACAGAGATAAAGTTTTAGCAAGACTTCCCGAGATCCTGACCCCAGTCTCAATTGCTGACTTGGGGGAAGACACCAAATGCCCGATCTGCCACGAAATATACGGAGAAGTTGAGGGTAAGAAGGACATGGCTGGCGAGCTACCTATATGCCTCCCTTGTTCTCATTTTTTAGGAAGAGATTGCCTTGAGACCTGGATAGGACAAGCACCCGACCCACTTCGAATCTGCACTTTGTGTAATAAAAGTTTTGGAATCGCGGGGCACCAACCACCTAGTAAGCCGGAAGATGCCCAATCAATCTTCTCCCTACTATTGGCGGCTGGGCTGGTCCCAAATGATTCTCCTGCGATAGGAATGGATCCAATAGAGGCCTGCCTGGTAGCTCTTCATCCACACGAAGGAATCACCCCTTGGTTTATTAGACTCTTACAAGGTGACGGCTCTATATCAAAGGTAACCGGTCATCATCACAAATTTCGTCACATACTCGGATGGTCATGAGTGGCTGGAAGATAAATTGCAAAAAGTAGAAAGTTGTAAAGCGACGCATAATACAAACAAATTGATTTAAAATTTGAAGAGATAATAAAGCATTAATATGCAAAATTGAGAGTGAAATAAATATAAAGAATAGAAATGTAAAACTTTATAAACCGACGATTAATAATAATAAAATGCAATAAACGGAAACTGTTGGGATACTAGGACCGCATCGCGAACCGCTCGGAGGGTGAAGCAGAGTAACCAACATTCGACAGCGGGAAGTACTTCAGCCTGGATTGCGGCAGAGAAATTCTTCAATCACGCGTCTGTCCCCTTCCTAGGATACATTATAGGGGGTGAAAATGGTCGCAGTCACCGTTTCAACATCCTGCTCTTAAGATGAATCCTTCCAAATATGCGCTATCTTGTAAATTGCTACCTAATGCCCGCTCCGACGTGATAGCTTCTCAGTGTCAGGTCGTGGACGGTTTGTAAATGATGAATTCCTACCTAGTGGTGCAAATTAGCTTCCATCCGTACATTCCTCAAGTTTCATACAATCGAGAAAGAGGCATTTTATGACGAGTCACAATGCTCTGTGGCGAAAGCCTATGTATATAGGGTTGGGATCAAGATGTCGTTCAAGATAGAGGTGGGTCACGTTTTCTGGCGGGGCTGGAGCTCTCAAAGCATTGTAGAGGTTGCAAATCCTCAGGTTCTTCCAATGTCCGATGCTGGAGGGGTATAAATTGACAAGATGAAATAATCCAAGCAGACTCTCAATGCAGATCAACGCTTCATCATAAACCCATCGAAATCGTCGCCCTCGCCCTCGTCCGATTCCTCGCTTTCTTCCTCGTCCAACAACTGCGGTTTCGTTGCCACAGCCTTCAACTCCACCATACTCTCCTTCGCCCTCAAAGCCTCTCTCTTTTCTCGCATCTTCCTCACCCTCTGTTCCAATCCCTGCATCTCGTCGAGCTGATCCTCCATTTTCCTAGCGGCATCCTCTTTATCACCTTCTAGCTCCGCCTCTTGTCTCTCTTTGCGCTGTGTCTTTGTTTCCTCCATGGACTGTGCCGCTAGCTGTGCAGCAGACATCGCGGGCGCAGATATAATCGCGTCTTCCGCTGCTGGTATTTCCGCTGCTGCAATGTCTGCTTCGAAGGCAGCCCATTCATCTTCGTTGACCTCTACCACAGGTCGCTGCGGAGGGGTGGGAGTGGCTTTGGCAGGCGTTGCTGGCCTAGAGGGGATCTGTATCTCATTTGCAGGTTGTAGCTCGGGTTCAGCTCCTGGGTCGAAGAAATCCTCGGGGAGGCCATTTGCAGGTTTTGTCCGTTTCCGTATTGTTTCTTCTCCATCCTCACTTGCTTTCCGCTTCTTCTTGTTGCTTTCCGTGGCAGCAACAGGTTCCGGGGTTTGCTGTTGCTCCTTATCCTGCAGCTTCTGAAATCGCATGATATGTCCCGCTGATCGTAGATGACCCTCCCATAGTGATTCGCTCTTTAGCTGAAGGTGGCAGACTACGCAGAGAAGAGTTCCGGTTGGAGTGTAGGAGGCGTATTTGTGCTGAATCCGTCGAGCTGCTCGCTCATTCTTGAGGAGGGATCGTACATCTGTCATTGGAAGTGTGGATTCGTAAGGGGGTTTTTAGGTGTTGTTGGTAATTTGTCAATAGAGTTGATATTATGATGAAGCTCAAATGCTGATATTCCGAGGTTCAAGCTCCGTCTCGTTTAGAAGGAAGACTATACTGAATGCAGTTTAAGCTTATCTGTTAGCTCATTCGCGAATCCCCGCAAGCCGACGTCTATGACCCAAATTTCTCGATTTCAACCAGACCAAGGCCGACGAGTACCACAACACCAAGACACTCCCTTTCGACAACATCGCCATCAAGGGATATATCCGCGCATCTCTTGCAATCACGGTGGCAACTACTACCTTGCGACCACACCTAGGGGATTACACCACATCTCTCTCCGAGTCAGAGTTGAACTCGCACGTCATCTTAGAGGGGAAGAGAACTGGCTGGGTCGCGTCAATTTCTGTGCTTGGTGGAATATTCGGGGCACTTTGTTCTCGGGATAGCTTCATTAGCTTTGTCTCTACAGTCTCCTTTTCAACATCATAGTCTGTAGAGCCCTATCAATCAGTGATCGCGTTAGAAAGCGCAACGCCCGCCGCGCAGAGCAGCATCGCATCTATTTGAAATCAACTCGACACCGGTGTATTCGCATTCCCATCTCCCTTGTAAACCGATATCAACAACAGACCCACTCACATACCGTGAGCGTTGTATATTCTATCCATCATGGCTGGTAAGCAATCGCGCTATCTTCAATGATTGAGCCTACGCGTCGAGCCTCCTTTGGCGGGATGCGACGCCGGCGATCCCTTTACATGGCATCTGCTAACCAAATATTCTACTACAGACGAACCTCGAAGATCCGTTCGCGCGACAAAAGGACAGCATACCAAAACCTCCGATCTCCTGGATCAATCCTCGCCTACACCCACAACAGGCAAGAAGAAAATAACTAAAAAGTCGTCAAAGAAGGCAGCCAAGAAAGACGACGATGAGGAAGTTGAGATTATTCGATGTGTTTGCGGTGCCATCGAGACAAGCGATGAAGATACGGAGCCTTGGATCGCATGCGACGAGTGTGAATGCTGGCAACATAACATTTGCGTTGGTATCAGCCGTTTCGGAGACGAGGCTCCTGAACATTACTTGTGCGAGAAACACGACCCATCCTTCCCGCTGCACAAAGAATTATTGGATGGTTTGAAGAAAGGTAGAAAGGTGTGGGAAGAACGACGTCGAAAGGTCGAACAGGAAATCGCCGATGAGGAGGCCGAGAAGGCGGGCCATAAGAAGAAGAGCAAGAAACCCCAAGCCAAGAGGGCAAGTGATCTATCCGAGATCAGTTATGCTACCAATGGAAAGGCAAAGTCTCCATCAGTTCCTGTCTCTGAGAAGAAGGGAAGCGTGGCGAGATCCGGAAGCACGAAGAGAAAGATTAGAGATGAGTCTCATGATACTGAAACCAAGGTACCTTCAGATTGCTCCCACATTTCTACACTCAATTCTAACATCGCGTCAGGAACCCCAAACAAAAATCCGCAAGGTCTCTGAACCTCGTCAAAAGTCTCCTCCCTCTGATCTGCCCGCGAGAATTATAGACCTTGAAACTTCCCGACAGTCGAGCGCGAGTCTCATACTCAAGAATTTAAAGCTCACTATTCCCGCCGCCATCCAAGCTGGCCTGTATTACCTCGGTGAGAACGATACCATCGAAGCAAAAGCGGAACGTCTTGCGATTGAAATCGAAAACGCCGTTTTTATCACCCACCCAAAAGCAACATATGTCAAGCAAGCTCGCTCTGTTGCTTTCAACATCAAGGTGAACCAAGAATTATGCAATGGCCTTCTCACAAGGACTCTTACACCTAGTGCTCTAGCAGTCATGAGTTCGGATGACATGGCTAGCAAACAATTAAAGGCAGAGACAGCAGAAATGAAGGCTCGGGCGGATAAACAGTCGATCATGATTACCGACAACGATGGACCACGTGTTCGGAGAACTCACAAGGGTGATGAGATTGTGGAGGATGACAATTTTGCTGTGCCAGATGATCGTATGTCTACAGCTCGTCGACGAAGCATGCTTGACCCAAATGCTGAAATGGCATCCCGGTCAAGAGAGAATTCGCCTGGAGGAGATGAAGTTGAACTGCCGGAGAACATCGATGATCATCGATCCCACGACGACATACGAAGTCACGTTGTTCCGAGACAACCTCTCACGGTCGAAACCAAGCAGTCTCATCCCCCTACAAGAAAGGCGTCAGGCCAAAGCTCCTTTGACATTAATAGAGACATCAACAGAGTTGTCAAGAGCGTTCAATCACCAGTCGGCACACAGCATATTCGTCGACCATCGGTAATTAACAATGCTCCACCAGTCAATGGACCAGGCGTTGATCCCGAGATTGACAAGCTTCTCCAAGATGACGATGGTAATGAGTCTCCTCCATACTCGCCAGCCGAGTACAACTCAGATCCAGAAATTGTTTGGCGTGGAACCGTTACGATGGATTCAATTGCGAAGTTCCCAGCAGTAGCAAAACACATTGGTGGGGCAGATCTTAGTAGTAAAACTCCATGGGATGACATTCTTCAAAAGGATTTGAGGGTAGCTGGTCGTATCGATCAAGAAAAGGCCAACGAGTATCTCTGCAGCCTTCGATACAGCCAGCCTACAGATATTGTCATCGTTGCCGTAACTCCAACTGGAGAAACTGCTTCGCTAGGCTACCAACACTTGTTCAACTACTTCCACAGCAAGAACAGGTACGGCGTCCTCACAAATAAAGGCGTCGGGAATATCCGTGATACATACCTGGTACCAGTTCCAGCAAGCCCAGGTAGTCTCCCAGACTTCGTCATCAACCTCGAAGGCCACAAGATCCCAGAAGAGCGACCCGAGCCTATGATTCTTGTCACGCTCGTCATCCGCTCCGATGTGCAGCCAGAGACCCAGCAAAATTTCGAGGCCCAGAGCCCATCCATCATGGGCCACCCACAACGCCAAATGTCCATGAGTGGTGCGGCACCAGCAATGTCGCCCATTGCACCGCAAGGGTCATTCGCATCTCCATCTACTCAGTTCAACAACAACACAGACTATCGCCAACATGAAGAACAACGACTAGAGAAGCAACGGGAGGGCGAAGCTAACGCAGTCAGAATCCTGGGTCAACATATCAATGCACCGACAGTTGCATTTTTGATGCCGCAGGCGTATCAAATGAGAGAAGTGGAATGGGAGATCATATCGGATATCCTGGAGAAAGATGAGAAGGCTAGGGTGGATCTGACCCATTTGAGTCAGGTTTTGGATTCGAGGATGACGGAGCAGGGCCAGAGAGGTTAGGCATAAAAGTTAACGTGATTCATGCGTAATGGAGGGACTTGTTTCGCGGCGTTAGTGCTCGGGATTTTGTGGGTTACGATACCATTATATAACCACGCCATCTGATAAATGGTACCACTGGTTTCTTCATTCTTTAATTCTGCCAATTGTACATAGGAATTTCACGCTTCCGAGTAGAGATAATTGGCCTTCACTTTCATTTTTTAGTTGCCAGTTTCGCGCTATCGTATAAATATGTTTCAATGATGCATTTTCCATTGCTCAAGTCCGTAGACGAGTCCCCCAAACGCCACCCAAAATAATATCTAAACAGTCGTCTTGTCCAAAAACTCGGCCTGCTTCTTTTCCTCCACGGGTGTAGCCATCTCTTCGGCCCAATCATGAGCAGACTTTTCACCGGCAGGCGACTTGACATCTTCCTCTTTACTCGGCGTCAGCGTTTCACCTGCCTCTACCTTGCTCGGCGAAGGTGATTTGGCTTTCTCTTCAGCTTTGCTTGGTGTAGGCAACGAAGGGAAATCCTCAACTGCTGGAGCAGACTGGCCACCTCCCCTACCACCACGACCACCCCTTCCACGCCCTCGTCCTCCTCTCTCAAACCCACCTCGCCCTCTCGACGGCCCATCCCCCAACACCTCCTCATCCGCAAACTGACTCCCTGCCAACCCCGCACCCCGTCCGCGAACAACACCCCCATGCCCACCTCTGACATACTCGCTCGTTCTTCCCCTACTCTTCCCATCCACAATATCGCTCTCCACCTTCTCACTATCCCACTCCCTGCCGCCCTGCGCCTGCATCTTCCTCTGGCGGTTCTTCGCGCGCTCCATCTCCATCTGCCGGCTATTCTTGCGCTCCTCTTCTTTCTTCACCTTCAGCTCTTTCTCGCGGTGCTGGAACGCGGCTTGGTCAGCCTCGGACTTGCGATGGGATTCCGATTTCTGCGCGTTCAGGATCGCCATCTGTGCTAGCTTGGCTGTGAGCTCTTCTTCGGTGAGTTTCTTGGGGAGGGTGCCGCCGGTTAGGGAGCGGTCGCCGCGTACAGCGTGGGTGCGTGCTGGTGCTGGTGCTTGTGTTGATTCGGGGGATTGATTGGGAGGCAGGGTGGGTGCTTCGGCGGGGGTAGAGAGATCTTGGGATGGTGCTGGTGCTGCACTTTCGGTCTGGGGCGCGTATCGAGACTGGTTCAGACCATTTGTTCCTCGTCCACCGCCACGTGGACGTTTCTCCTGGGCTGGTCTGCCATTCTTTGCGGGAGCTGTTGGAGGTGGGGTGGGGTTGGTGTTTGTTTTTTGTAGGTGGAGTGGGTTGTGCGATTTCAGTGGATTCAGCGACGGGCTCAAATTCGTCGGCGAAGAGGTCGTCGTCTTCTCTGGATTGTGCGAATTCATCCATGGTCGTTGGTGGTTGTGTTGTGAAGACCCCGCCAGGTGGTGGAGGATAGATTATCAAAAATGCTGCTTACGTGATACACGATATAGTATCTCGCCGCGAATTTGGATTTCTTCGGATCTTCCTACACTTTTAATTTCCCTTTCACTCGCTCCTATCATCAGATATAATTACGTTTAGAGTTCTCGAGACGAAATGTTATCTATGCATCACGTTGTTCAACGTCCCCTGACCGCGTCTAGACTCGGGATGGAGATGTATCATCATCATCTCATCTGTTGGCAATGACTCCCTTATACTACTTCTCATTTTGGTTGTAATGCTTCACAGCTGGAACCTGGAATCCATGAACTAAACCGCGTCTCACAAGTGTAAGACATGATTCTCTTGACTTGGATTTTTGTGTGTTAAAACGTACAACTTATTTGTAATCAAGTGTACCTACAACGATCTTGCAATATCATCCTGCTTCAGTCTAATCTCAAATTTAAAGTACCTTTCAATCTTTCCAGTAACTGCTCAAGTCTCAATCGGCATGCCATATTGAGGGCATTGCCCCTGTTCGCCCCATCAAATCAAGACAATCATTTTCATGAGCCTGCTCTTCATCATTGGCGCTCGTGAATTGCGTTTGAAAAGTCTGCCCGAATTTCAGTCCACTCATCAAAAACCACGGGCGATCGAATCAGTTCCGGCAATCGCTCCATCAGGGCACGACGATATTCCCGGTTCACCTGAGTCGTGAAGAACTCGTCACGACTTTTCCATACTTCGAAAAGCATAAATTTACCCTGTTCGCTCGGACGTGCACACATGAATGTACTAATGAACGTCTTTTCATGCTTCATGGCATCTATCACTTTTCCCACGAGCTGCATCCATTCCGCCTCGCACCCTTCATTGAGGTCGAATTTGGCTATTACGGCCCATGGCTTTGCAGAGGGATCATCTTCTCCAGGAATCTGATTCATCTCCGTCTCCTCAGCTGTCTTTGATTTCTCATGGCTATGAGACGTTTCAGATGAGGGGCTTGGCTTCCCCGAGACCCGCCGAGTGTAGAACATGACCGTTGCCGTCTTGTCGATAGCTTTTGACTCTAACGCTGCGGCTCGTAATTTCTCGAAGCCCTGCTCCGCAGCCTCTTGATTGTGGAAAGTAATATCCTGCACCACATCCATCGCGCTCTTGGGCTCTTCACCCCACACGCTGCCAGAGTAGCTAAGAATGTGCGCAGGAAGAAGATAGTGACGGTTGTGACGAAGCTCGCCAAACATAGTCCCTGACGCAGAAATCTCGGCCTCATAATCCAGCTTGAACTGAGCCCACTCAATGCCAGGACGTCGCCGGCTGATCAACAAAATTCTTACTGCCGAAGAAGAGAGTTGTTTATGATCCGATGCTTCGCTGTTCTCTGTCTCGGCAACATATGTCACCAGACGATCTTTCCGAGTAAAACCTTCTTCATCTATTTCTGATGTTCTCCGTTTCAGTTCCTCGGCGAGACTGTTCGTCCTTGTCTCGAAATCCGAATGAGCGTTAAAAGTAACCGCAGACAAACTGTCGAAAGGGAATATTCCTTCTCTGGGCTGGTTCGCGAGAGTGATCGCACTGCCGGCGACAGGGTAGATATGTTCGTAGATTGGTGGTGATCCAGGTATCGAAATAAACGGGTGACTACGCTCATAGTGCTCGGCGAATTGGTCAGGTTTGGTCCCATCATTTTGCCACCATAGGGTTATCAATGTCATCTTGGACGACATGATGAAATATACTGGATGCGGCGGGATTTGAAGGTTTTGCTCGTTGCCTTTAGCTTATACCTGCTAGGAATCAATGATCGTAAGCTGAGTCCTCCAGTTCCATGGACTTTCCGTGGAATATATTCCGCCATGGTCTTGGTCGAATCGCATCGCCATCACCATCGCCATGCAAGAATTTCGTTGTTAATGAATCGTAAACTCGAGGGTTTAAAAGAAGTAGTGGGATCAACTTTCTTGATACATCCGTTAGTCAAAAGACGTTCCAGACTAGCATGCGGTAGTACCTGTAAGGGTCTGTCCTTCTTTGTAAGGCCATTCCGACTGAGATATGTCCATGACTAACTGATTTTAATTAGATACTGCTTGTGAAGTTAGACTTAGCTCAGCCGCCTCAGCTGAACATTGCATTGCAATTTAAACCCGGGGCACGTCTTTCACCCAGGTAATTATCTTCGAAGAGATACGAAATCGGAGTGAGAATTCTATTCAAATATGTTTTCCTCTTGCCAGCTTATACTGAATCCCCTCCAAGCTTTTCTTGATGGCATTGAAATTTGTATACAGATCCATCTACTTGGCGAGGTTGATGGCAATTTCAGCTGGCTAATATGGCGCTTTGTGGCACAAACCAAAGCTCCTGATAGGTTTTGTCGGAAGATGGATTTTCAGCTGAACTTCAGCCCTGGGTCCAGAGTTCTTTTTTAAGAATCAAGCATTATGACAAGCTTTTGGTCAAGCTTTGTTCCCCAACGGTTATATGCCTTTAATTGCTTGGCTTTCCCCGCGCAGTTGTCGAGAAGTCTAGTACTGTAAAGATTTCGCTGTAACGAAGTCGACAAAATGGTGCTGCCACCTTCTGGACCTCCCCCACCTAGCTTACCGGAAGGATGGAAGGCTCACTGGAATTCGGAATACAATGCATGGCAAGTCTCGATTACTGATGCCCTCGTTATCGTACTAACGTTGATCAGGTTCTACGAAAACATCTACACCGAAGCATCTGTCTGGGAACTACCAACCCAACCAGTCTACAAACCCGAATCAAAAAAGCCCGCCCCCCCGGGACCCCCTCCCGGATATGTGGCCCCAGCTGAGAAGAATGTAGATGCTGTAGATTTGCAAAATGCAATGTCTAGCATATCTCTTTCCGATAACACCTATGGTCGGCCTACACAACAGCCTGCTCCCTCCTCGCAGACTCAGTATCCGCCGAATCCTGTTACCCAAAGCCCTCCACCTACATCTGGACCTGGCGTATCACAAGGGGCATATTCTTCAGCGGCACCCCAACCTTCATCCGCGTCTTACAATCCATCCCAACCATCTCCCGCATCTTACAATCCCTCTACTCCAAATCCCGTTGCCCAGAATCCACAGGCAATCTACGGGTCTCAAACGCAGCCCACGTATCAACCATACCCACAACCTTTGTCTCCTCAAGCTCCGCAAGGGTCAACCCCACTGTATAATCCGACCCCCTCCCCAAATGCTCAAGGTCCTCCAGCTTTTGCCCCTGTGTCTCAAAGCTATTATTCGGTTCTTCCAGCACCTGCAACTCAGAGTCCACCATCATCCGCTGCAGCTTCTCAAACCTACTATTCGGCTGTTCCTGCACCCGCACCAACTCAAAGTCCTTATGGAGTACCGTCCCCTCCAGCAGCGTCTTCTCATGGAGCTGTTCCTACTACCGCTCCCACCCAACCTAGCTACGCCGCGGCTCCTACAAACCATCCTCAATCCCCGCCTCCATCGGGCATAAGCCCCGCCCATAACCGAGATGTGTCGTCTCCTTATCCAGGTCAGCCAGTCGGGTATCCTCAGTATCAACCTGCTCCAAATGCCGGATACCAGCAACCTCCACATAATCAATACTCGCCACAACCATACAGTCAAGCTCCTTACGGGCAGCCACCCCAGCATAGCCCATACCCAGCACCGCAAACCCAATATGCCCAATACCAACCACCTACCTCATACCAACCTCAGATATACCATCCACCAACCCAGTATGGTCAACCTGCACAGCCTGCCCCGCCTCAGACAGCTCCTCCTCAGACAGCTCCTCCTCCAGCACAAAAAGGACTCATGGGAATGCTAGGTAAACTTGGCGGTGCGAGCAATCCACTGGCGTCTGCTCCTGCTCCTGCTACCGGCAAACCTGCCAAAGCCGGAATGGGTGCACTTGGGGGTGGTCTTCTCGGTGCAGGTGCTGGACTTATAGGGGGTGCAGTGTTGAATCACGAATGGAATGAACATAAACCCGGTCATAAGCAACATCATAGCCAGAGTTATTCAAGTGGAGGTGGTTATGTTAATGGGTACGGAGGTGGAGGTGGAGGCTATTATGCGCCCCCGACTGTGGTGCAAGAGACGGTTATTGTTGAACAGCCTAGTGTTGTACAGGATAACGTATATGGTAAGTATTTATGCTAGCTGGCTACTCCTTGAGAGGCTATTTGCTAACGGTTTTCTAGTTGAGAATGATACGTTTGTCCAAGAAAGTTATGTAGAAACTGATACGTATGTTGAAACGGATACATATGTTGAGAACGATACCTATGTTGAGGATGACACTTATGTTGAAGAGACCTATGTCGAAGACGATTACTAGGTTGGAAATGGCATTTCTACAACGGCTGCTTTTTTCCTCTTTCTGGGTTTTTTTGTTTTTGCTTTCTAGATTGATTCCGAGGAGATATACATATATAGTTAAATCTATATTTACTTATAAGTCATTAATGAGTTGAGTTCTCTCTGACACCAAGTTTCATACCTATCTCTTATCTCTCAAGCTAGTGTTTCTATACTCCGTACAAGTACCTATAGGTAGGGTAGGGTATACACCGTACTATCTAACCAAGTGCCGACCGACGTGTACCTAGCGGCTCGCCTCGCCTACTCACCACCCCCCACTCTTGTGAGGAGAGAGAAGCGGGGCGATGCCTCCTGGCAACCCGATGCACCAATGAGCATCCAGTACCCGTGACAGACCAGCCCGATATGAAACAGCTCGAGCACGTGGCAGCCAATTGAAAGTGCGGAACAAAGACGTATGATTCGCGCTAATGCGAGGCATTGAAAGGGTGTGCTACTACGGAGTACTCCACACTGCCACGTCGGATCCCGAGTCGAGTCCCGTGCAGTCCAGACAGTCCATATAACCCCTCCTCTCCTCCTCCCTCCCCTCTTCGTCTCACCTCAAACAATCTACTACCTTACATACCATACCAAATCAAACCAAACCAAATCAATCAAATCCAATCCAAATCAAATCCATCTCCAATACCAACCTACCATGTCTTTCGCTACCGAATCTCCAGTCAACATGTGCGGAGCTGATTGTAAGATATCTCCCAACTCGCATGATTTACCACACCCCGCTATTGCTATTGCTATTGCTATTGCTTTGGAGGGGTAGAATCTGAATGAATGGCCTGCTAACATCACATCCGATCGAATAGGCTCTTGCGGTGCTTCCTGCGGCTGCGCCGAGTGCCCCGTCCACAAGAAGTAAGCGGCTTCGCGATGAAGGAGAAGGGTACATAGGAGGTTGTTTGCTATAAAGTTTCCTGTAAAATTCCTTTGGGGCTGGGTTGTGTGGGAGGGGGAGGGCAAATTGCTAAAGCTTTGATGGCTAGATGAATCGGGGGTGGATGAGTTGATATGATGATCCATTGAATTGAATTGCATTGCAATCGACATATACCAAGACTTCTTCTTCGTGCCACTATGCAAGCTACTCTTCGCCCGTGATTGATTGCTTTACCTCCGTAGGTACCTCATCCTAAGGTATAGGTATGAAAATATCCATCACGTGTCTCGCTTCTGCCCCTCTACTTACGGCCGATGTTCGTAAGGTACCTTATGTACCTAGGTATCTACTTACACATGCAAGAATAACCTGCCCTGCTGCGCGCAAGCGAGATAGTCAATTAGCTAGTTTAGAATCCGTTGAATGCTTGCAGAAGCATGTCTCGCTCGTTTCTTTTTTACTATAACGATAACGCCTTCATGTTCACTCGGGGTTAATGTAGGTAACTCTTCTCTTCTCTTGCTAGGTACTTCTAGCTATAACAGAACACAGCATAAGGATCATACAGGTTATAAGCTGAGCTTGGACTATTGAGATGGAAAATTGGGTTGGAAATAGGGGGCTTCATTCTCGGTCACTTTCCAGGCTCTTAGGGCTAAGTTATAGCGCTAGCTGGCTCGCTAAACATATTGAGGGGTTGCGTTGCGCTAGCTGTTATAAAAGCTGGACCCCCTTATCTCAAGTACGTACCTACTTGTCAATGAAAATATCAGATGAACTGACGGGAGAGAAAGCTTCCGATGTCTGTTCTCGTATTAGACTGACTGTTTTCTCATAACATCGAGGAAGCAAAGTGGTTTAGCCGCGGATAGGGCGAGTCAGATAGAGACAAGAAGCTGTGGCAGCTGTACGACACCTATTTGGGCTCCCATCGAGGTAAATGTTGAGCCTCTCTAAGAGAGCCGGAAACCTATGCTCACCCTGTGAAGTTCTCCGTAGGGGACGGGAATGGAATGAATGTGGTGGCGACTTGGAAGGATCTAGCTTCTCGGCACGACGAAATATCTAGATGAGTGTGAGCTCTGTATGTGCTGTACAAAAAGAAGCGCAAGGAGATGACAGACAGATTGGACTGAGCGCATCATGTACTTGGGACTGGAAGCTGTTGACCTGAGACCCTGCCACGGTATGAGCTGAATGGGCCGTTTGAGTATGAGATATTGCGAGTAACTGCAAAGGGTCAAAAGGATTCGATGATCAATAGATGTACATGAAATCGCACCTGAACGCCCCCTCTCGATATTTGCACAAACGCCAGACTTTTGATTACCATCCTCCTCGGAAACCTCTCCCTCTTCCCCTGAATCCACCCCCCTCTGCCACCTCCTCTTCCACCAAACCCTCGACCTCCAAAGCCGCCATCATTGTAACCACCATCATACCCACCTCTGGGTCCCGGACTATTCTCCCCATCGTCTTGCATCGGTCTATTCCTTGTCCTCAACTCCTTAGGGAACGCTTCGTAAGTCTTCCGCATCTGCGCATAGCCCAAATGCATCTTTCCATAAAAGTGATCCGCCAACCGTCGGTCATTATCAAGCCTACTAAGATACGCGCCACACACATCGCAAACCTGCAACTTTTGATGTCCGCTAGGTCCACTGGTATCTGATAGCGCCTTCAATTCCCGCTCCTTGTCCGCTTTGCTCTGCATCGCCGTCCGAATGCGAAAAAACTCTTCGTAAGCCCGTGATACTTCAGATTGTTCGCCTAAGACCTGGATCTCCATCAAGCCTGTCTCAACGCTTTTCGAGAGGTCCGAGATTTGCTTTAGCAGCGCATTGGTCTGTCTGATCTCATCGGGCGTCTTCTCCAGCCTCCTCTGCGCAATGTCAATTCGACGATTGCATTCGTCAATGTATTTTTGTAGGTCGCGCATGTAGTCGTACTCGAACCCCCATTTCTGCTTCTCTGATGGCGACGCGGCCTCGTACTCTGTCTTGAGGGGCTCGGAGTGGACTTTTGGGCAGGGGCCCAGGTCTTGTTTGGTGTTTGTGAAGAGGTCGTGCGGACAGGTGCCAGCGAGGAAGGACCGGCAGATTTTGGGGTCCGTGATGGATAGTTGGGAGGATCGGGACGAGGCTCCTGCGCCCATGAGCTGCTCTGTGGTGGGCAGATGTTAGCTGTGCTGGTGATAGAAGGGGGATTGATGCAATGCGCCGGCTTCAATACGAAGGATGGACATGAGCGGATAGTTGGATGTTATGGGAATATATACCAAGCAGCTTCCTTTGTTCTGCGGCCATGATTTATGTTTGTGATGTGGTTGTGAGAAAGGATGGTGGTGATGGTTTTTTGGAGGTTGAAACGCGGCTACGAAATTCTCAGCCGCGTCGAAAGGCTTCAGATGCCACCAATACAGCTACTGTAGACTCTTTTCAAAACCACACAACACCAACCCATCCATGAGATTTCAATAGCACAAATTGGCGCTGGCTGCCATGCGTAGAATACTGTCCTTACTGTTGTCTGTCGGCTGCTTGGCCCTCTACTCATCCGCCACTTCCGACTATCACGAGCAGCTACTCCTCCGACCTCTACACCCCTCCTTGCTGCTTGCCTCGTTCAATTTTCAGAGCAATACAAGCTTGGCCTCTTTCGAACAGCAGAATTTCAGATACTTTCCAAGATCCCTGGGCCAAATTTTACAACATGCAAACACCCGCGAGCTTCATCTGAGGTTTAGTTTGGGGAGATGGGATGCTGAGAGCTGGGGAGCACGGCCTTGGGGAGGCGCGAGAGAAGGGGGCACAGGTGTGGAATTATGGGCTTGGGTTGAAGCAGAGACAGATGAAGAGTAAGATATACCAGAGAAAGATATGGATAATGAAGCTGATGTTTATAGGGCTGATGGACGATGGTTGACATTAACAAATGCTCTGTCTGGCCTTTTCTGTGCCTCACTAAACTTTATCGATTCTACAAGAACTACACGCCCGGTCATGTCATTCCAGCCGACCGGAGATCATTCAAACTCTACACTCTCGGATTTACACCTACTCCACGGGACGTTGCCGAGGGAGGTTGTATGTACGGAGAACTTGACCCCTTTTTTGAAATTGCTGCCGTGCAAAGGAAAGGCGGGAATATCAAGTTTGTTGGACGGGCACAAGCTGTTTGATGCATCCTGGCAGAGTATGTCAATTGATGTGCGGCCTATATGTACGCCTGGGTCCGATGATTGCCAGCTTCAAATCACGCAGACTATTGATATGGTTTTGGATATTCAGAGATCCAAGCGTCCAAGGGGTAATTTCAAGCAATAAAATGTATGAGTGATGCTGACGATTTTCAGATAACCCAATCCCACGTCCTATTCCCGAAGAAGAACTGAAATGCAACACCTCAAAACCATACCATTCAGGTGACACCTGCTTCCCTCTTGATGCAGCATCACAAGAGGAAGACTGGAGCTTATCCCAGATATTTGGACACTCTCTGAAAGGAACATGTTCGTTGGCCCAGGACGGGGCCGACCCTGTATGTGTCAATGTGCCACACGCTCGGCACGTCTATGCTTCCGAAGGTGCCCTTGAATACAAAGATGCCTCGGGGTATAGCCGATGCTTCAAAATTGCCCCGGACAAGGATTTCGAACTTGTCTTACCTCAGCAAGAAATTTCCGAGAAGACTCCCCTGGAACAGCCACTACTCTACGCGGAGCGCTCATTCATCGGATATGGACAAGAACGTGGAGGAGTCCAGGCTATCCTAACAAATCCTTCCCCAACCGAAGCTGTGGATTTTGTTTACATGGAGTCCTTACCCTGGTTCATGAAACTCTATCTACATACATTGAGAGCTAAAATCAACGGTCTCGACGAAGATATCATCAAAGAAATGTACTACCGTCCAGCTCTAGATCGAAAACGAGGCACACAGCTTGAAGTACGGATCGTCATCCCTGCCAACTCGACCGTCGTTCTCACTTATGATTTTGAGAAAGCGATCTTGAGGTACACGGAGTACCCACCTGATGCGAACCGCGGTTTTGATATCGCGCCTGCCGTCATAACAATTGGAGATGTGGCGATACGGACGACGAGTTTGCTATTACCTCTTCCGACTCCGGATTTCAGTATGCCGTATAACGTGATTATACTTACGAGCACGGTCATGGCGTTATCTTTTGGGTTTGTTTTTAATCTATTGGTAAGGAGGTTTGTGACGGTGGATGAAGCTGATCAGTGGGATTTCAGATCAGTGAGAGTGAAAGTTGCGGCGTTTTTGAGAAGAATTTTGAAGAAGAAGGCGAAGAAGATAGAGAAGAAGGAGTGATTGATTTATTTGGTATATAATAGATACGGGTTTCATCGTCCAGCTGTCATGTGAAATCGCCTCAAGTGGGAATGGGACATTCTTAAAAATTCATATGTCGACTGGATTATGCTGCGCTTTCTTTACACCTAAACGTTTATTAAAAGTTGCTCTTGTTCTTGCTCTTGTTCTTGCTCTTGTTCTTGCTCTTGTGCGCAAGTGCAGTGTAGTGTATTGCATACTCGAGCCGTATGCCTACCTCAACCTTTCGTCTGAGACTAATAATGTTTACTTATAGAGAGGGAAAGACGACTCGGTGGACAATAAATACTATGACGAAATAAATATATTTTGGAAACTTCTTGATATGTATAGCGAAGTGCAAGATTTTCTGGTGCGGTCATACCTACTTTCGTTGTTACTTGTCTTGGCTGGCTGATTGAAAAGCACGTCTAGGTCCACGTTGCCTTGGGTAAGCTAGTGATCATTTTCTTGCATGGAATGTTGCACTGGGCAGTAGCAGTAGCAGTAGCAGCATTATTGAGTACTAGCATATATATAACGCCCCGAAGAATCTACCTGGGGGCGTACGTGTACGTGTTTACCGTATATGGTACCTATGCTGCGACATGACAAGCTAATGGTACATGTATCTCCTTGACTGAAAAACTTGAGTGGGTAGAATTAACGTGGGTGCGTTATGGGAAGGGTTTCTCTCGTTCTGGTGTACTGTTGATATTAGATGATATATGTATATGCTACTTTAAACTTTTACCTGTGGATTTCTCAAGCTATACTTATATGCAAGCAGGCCTTACTTTTCAAAAGGGACAGACGAATGTCGTTTATAATGGCATGTTTAATTTGCGGATCAAAGGTGCATCTGCACTTTGTCCGGTCCTGACGGTACTTGGATCTTGAGAAGCACTGCTATGAACGTTGCGCGGGGATGGGACGCCGAACTTCGAGAGCTCTATTGAAATTTGAGATGGGATATGTAAGTTGGGTTGGGTAATGAGGGAGATCAAATCGGGCGAGCTGTCGATTTATTCGTTTTCATGAAATGACCGTAAGCGTATAAAGGGAGTGAATACCCCTTTGATCAGGACTTCCTAGCGTACCTATAGGTAGTGGGGAACGACACGTGGCTGCGTTGCCCACCTTTTCGATTCAGCTGGTTTCTTGGGTGGAATGCAAATGCCAGATTTATGATGCACTTGAAAGACTTTACATGTTCAAGTAAAGTCAATTCATCTCGGAGTTATTTATCGAACATGGCTTTCTCGCGCCGGGTGACTATTTAGCCGGGAATAGGTTTGGTGCTGTCTGTCCTACTGACGCTTGTCATGTCATTGAGCAGTAATAATGGATTTTCAGAAAGACTTGTGTCTGGGATGGGTGCTGGCTACAGCTTACAACTGACATCTTGCATTTTCGCTGTTGAGTACAGGACAGGCGGCACAAAATACCCCACAACACTGAAACCAGAAGCTGTCATGAGAGATGTATGCGCTAGGCGTGGCTTGAAAATCAGCCTCGTGAGTTGATCATCAACCAAGCAGTGGGGGAGAGAAAATAACAAGATGATCACGAGACTCTTGTTCATTCCTTATCAATCTCCCTGCCTGGGAATACCATATCGCCGCCTCGGGGTCCAGACTCATGAAAGATGCCTTTCATACCTATGGAACTTCGTCCGGTGCTGTTAGGGTTAGGGGGCTAGGTAACGTTACTCTCTGTAAGGGAGATTATGGAGTATACCGTACCTTACCTCAAGTAGCTCTTCTGGGAAATAGGAGGCGCTCCTGGGTACCTAAATACCTACACATTGCGGTGGTTAAGGTAGGTCGTCTTGATAAAGTTGTGTGGGACCAAGGGCCCGTGACGGATTAGGAAGGTGGGCCTGGGGGGACGACGGCATATTACCCTAAACACAACTACAAGCTAGATCCAGCGGATACGGTAATTGACAATCAAACACCTAGCCAATTGTCGCAGCGAGGACAAGCTCTTGTCTTTGCTGGACATGTTCAAACAAGGCGCTGAAGTTTAATTTGACTACGTGCTAGCAGGTAGGTATGCTGCTACTTGTGTGCTTGTTTGCATTGGCATGTAAGGCAAGGCAAGGGCGTACCTGGATATTGATTAGCCGGGCAGGGCCCGGTACCTGAGTCTAGTTTCTAGGTCAAGGCCGTCACATGTGTGTAGCTGTAACCTCGTGGCTGCTATGCATCGCCTATCTATTCTATCTAGGACCTCCGCACTTGGACAGATCGATTGCAGCAGCGCTCATGTACGGCATTCCTAGAGGTAGTTAGTTACCTTAGGCAGGTCAGAGAGATTACTCGGGGTCCTTTGTCCGGGCCTCTTCTGCCCTATGGATGGGTTCTCATGCTACGTTTTGCGGGTTCGCTGGCACGATGAACAAATGGTACCCGCCGCGTGCTGGATCCTCCCACGTCCTGCTGAGTCCTGAGGGGGGTAGATGGGTATTTAGTGTTTGTTCGGAGATTGGATGTATGGCTGGTGGATGGTGATTGTAACGTTTATGTATGCAGTTGCTGGACGGGAGGGTTACTCGCTGGTATGTATGGATGGGTGACTGACTGATTCAGGCGTCGTCAGCGGAGGGAGGGAAGGGGGGAGGGAGGCGGCGGTTCAGGTGTATATATTGAATCGTTGTTCGACTCCTTTTTACATACCGCATCGGCAGTTTCATCTATTCTTTCTCTGTACTTTCTTGTTACTATTCAGGATGGTTTCTCGTGTGTTAATTTCACTCCTTTCGGCTTCGGCTTTATTCCTTTCATCTATAGCTGCTCCAACTTCGAACTCGTCAAGTGGTTTTGCATCACAAGGAATTGCTGCTGCCCCTAGTGGTGGGTACAAGAATGCGGGATACTTTGTAAATTGGTATGATGCTTTCTGGTCTGGCTTCTTGGATATAATAACTGACAGATATAGGGCAATCTATGGCCGGGACTTTCAGCCTCAACAGCTTCCAGCCTCAGAGTTGACCCATGTCATATACGCCTTTGCCAATCTTCAATCAGACGGTACAGTGTAAGAGACTCCGATCTTAAGTCAGACGAGAGGCTAATAATGCAAAGGGTTCTGTCAGACACATATGCCGATTTACAGAAGCATTATAGCACCGATTCCTGGAATGATGTTGGGAACAACGTCTACGGCTGTATCAAGCAGCTTTATCTTCTCAAGAAAGCCAACCGCAATATGAAGACTTTACTCAGCATTGGAGGCTGGACTTATTCGACTAACTTTGCGCTGCGGCAAGTACTGCTGCTACGCGCGCGACCTTTGCTTCCACGGCCGTGGCGTTTGTAAAGGACCTAGGCTTTGACGGAATAGACATTGACTGGGAATACCCCGCCGACGCTACCGAGGCCGCGAATTTCGTCCTCCTCCTGCAGGCTGTTCGTTCTGCACTCGATGCATACTCAGCTCAGTACGCCCCGTCCAACCAATTCCTCATCACGATAGCATGTCCCGCCGGCCCGGATAACTACAACCTGTTGCAAATGTCCCAGATGGATGTGTATCTCGATGCGTGGCACCTGATGGCATACGACTATGCGGGATCGTGGTCCAGCTATTCGGGCCACGATGCCAACATCTACCCCAACACCGCGGACCCCAACAGCACGCCCTTCTCCACATCCCAGGCTGTGTCCGACTACATTGCCAACGGCGTGCCAGCCTCCAAACTCGTCCTCGGCGTCCCGCTGTACGGCCGTTCTTTCGAAGGCACCGCTGGCATTGGGCAATCGTTCACGGGTGTTGGATCTGGGAGCTGGGAAAACGGCGTCTGGGACTACAAGGCGCTGCCAAAGGCGGGCGCGACGGTTACCTATGATTCGGTCGCGAGCGGGACGTATAGTTACGATGCGGCTGCGGAGGAGCTGATTAGTTATGATGACCCGGCGCAGGCCACGGTGAAGGCACAGTATATTGCGAGTCAGGGGTTGGGAGGGGCCATGTATTGGGAGACGAGTGCGGATAAGACTGGGAGTGATAGTTTGATCTCGACGATTGCTGGGACGTTTGGGGCATTGGAGCAGGTAGAGAATTGCTTGAGTTATCCAGAGAGTCAGTATGCAAATATGGTTGCTGGGATGGCGTGAGTGAGTGCATGCCGTGCTTCGTGAGGACTGGGTGGAAGTGGGCAGGGCAGGGCAGGGCAGGGCAGTAGGTTGCAAGCTTGGCTCAGGAGTTAGTCATCTGTGGTTCGGGTGATTCGGATCGAGGAGGTTTTTTCTTCTTCTTGTATATACTATACTTTCGGGATATTGTTTTGCATATACCTGGGATGGAGTTGTTGGTTTCATCAGATATATGCACATAAGCTATGACGAAGAATTATGCAATACTTGAACTTGTATTGGAAAGGAGAGGTGAGTGAGGTGAGGTGGGGTGGGGTGGTTCTTGAAAGTTCATCTCTCCTAGATGCCTCGGCACGGAATTGGTGGTGAGGGGCGGTGGGGTTTAAATGTTTATGGGAGTGAGTAAGTCGGTCCTTTACTCGGTAGGGTGTGCTATGTTGTACCTGTTGACCATTTAAAGGGGTGTGATTGGACTACAGTGCCGGCCCTCATAAGTACCGACCTTTACGACTACCCTACCCTACGACTACTTACCGGCTACGGTCCGCTGCGAGCCTGCCGTCTGACTGAGCAGGGCAGGGGCTGCTGGGATGGGCTGGGATAGCTTAAATGCCGAGCTGGACTTCTCTCCTCCCCTTCCATGTCCATGAGCTTCTTGCTGTCTCCGTATTTACTTGGTACAGTACACCAGTCTAACCGTTCATCCTATCCGCCAAGCTCCCACCGATCAGTCTCGAGCGAGTACTAAGGTAGGAGGAGTAGTAGTAGTACGGAGTATAGCATTACCGATTGATCTTCTCGGCGTACGAGTGTGCTTGTGCTCGTCATGGCCGTCGAGTAGAGTACATACCTACCTTAGTACTTGTTTCGTACTATCGCTATTATACAGGGAAGTTTATATCTGATCTACAGTCCTGCTGCATCGCTCGTTCCATTTACCAAAACCCGTCCAGACTTTACTTTTTCATATATAGGCATCCAAGGTAGTCCCTCGTTGCCTTTCTTCCCATCTATTTCCTCTACTGTACTTCTTAACTGGTTCTTCTCATCCATCTTCAACATGTCGCAGCCGATTCCAGGCCCGCCAGCTCTCCCAATTCTGGGTAATGCTTACGACCTGGATCCTATCAATTCCTCGGAGAGTCTTAATAGACTGGCAGATACCTATGGTAATCCCATTATCCTCTCCCTCGTACAGACAGATGTCTGCTAACTTCTCAGGCGAAATATTCAAACTCAATCTCGGCGGCGTTGAGAAGCTCTACCTCTCCACCCACTCCCTCATGAACGAAATTTACGACGAGAAGCGGTTTACGAAACTGGTTTCTGGGGGCTTGGAACAGATCAGGAATGGAGTTGGCGATGGCTTGTTCACTGCACACCTAGGAGAACACAACTGGGACATTGCACACAGAGTTCTGATGCCAGGTAGGCCGATGCGGAGCATTGATACTGGCGCATGCTAATGCAAGACAGCATTTGGTCCGCTCTCTATCCGGAGCATGTTTGACGAGATGCTGGGATATTGCTACCCAGATGGTCGTGAAATGGGCGCGATTTGGACCCAAGGAGAAGATTAACGTTACGGCGGATTTTACAAGCCTGACTCTGGATTCCATTGCCTTGTGTGCTATGGGCACACGGTTCAACAGTTTCTACCACGAATCTCCACATCGATTTGTGGATGCTATGCTTGGCGTGCTGGCCGAGTCGGGTGCGAGAGCTGTTAGACCCGGGTTGGCAACTTACTTTATGGGATCTGTTCAGAAGAAATACGATGACGATATTGCGACGTTGAGGGGCATTGCCGGCGATTTGGCAGCTGAGCGTAGGGCACATCCAGTTGAAAAGAATGACCTGTTGAATGCAATGCTTAAAGGCAAGGACCCGAAGACTGGAGAGGGGTTGACGGACGAGAGTATCATTAATAATATGATTACTTTTCTTATTGCAGGTAAGAGATCCTGCTTCTATGGAGGAATAAGAGCTGTAGTTGGGATACGAGCCGACCTTTGTGGAATTGGTTGGCGTAGAATATTGGCTACAGCTGCTGAAAAATAAATGCTAATACATCACAGGTCATGAGACAACCAGTGGGATGTTATCTTTCCTGTTTTACCATCTTATCAAGAACCCAGCAGCTTATCAAAAAGCGCAAAAGGAGATCGATGAGGTTATCGGCAGAGGCCCCATCACCGTTGACCATATGTCGAAGCTTCCCTATCTCGAAGGATGTATGAGAGAAACTCTACGATTGTTTTCAACTGCTCCTGTGAACACCCTTCAAATTCGACCTGACTCGACCGAAGATGTGATGTTCCTAGGTGGTGGGAAGTATAAAGTTGTCAAGGGTCAGCCCGTTGTCGCGATTTTACACAAGCTTCATCGTGACCCTCTTGGTAAGTTTATTCGTACAAATTTGCTAAAACTTTGGGAAGGAGCCCGGGGAGATGTTTTAGCCTATGTGCCGGCTTCTAAGACAACTTCCGGGCTCCTTGCTCTCTAAATTGGTAGCTTTACTATGCTAAATCTTTGAGACAGTTTATGGGACGGATGCCGAGGAGTTTAAACCTGAAAGAATGCTTGATGAACCTTTCAGTAAATTGCCACCAAACAGCTGGAAACCTTTTGGGAACGGTATGCGAGGATGTATTGGGAGACCTTTTGCATGGCAAGAAGTTATCCTCATCACATCATTGCTTCTGCAAAACTTCAACTTTCGCTTTGATGATCCAAGCTACGAACTGAAAATCAAGCAAACTCTTACGCTTAAGCCCAAGGACTTTTTCATGCACGCTACATTGCGGGATCATATAGACCTCATTCATTTGGAGCAAATGCTCTATTCCAACACACCCCCGGAAACAAAAGTTGCGGGAGAGGATCGTGCTAAATCTGTTTCAAACGGGTTGTCGAAGAGGCCTATGACGATCTTGTACGGTTCGAATTCGGGAACTTGCGAGGCTCTGGCGCAAAGTCTTGCTAGAACTGCTTCAGGCTATGGATATCATGCGGATGTAGAGTCGCTCGATTCAGCAGTGGACAAGGTGCCTAAAGATCAGCCTGTGGTATTGGTTTGCTCCTCGTACGAGGGTCAACCTCCTGATAACGCTGCTCATTTCATTCAATGGCTTGAGAACCTTGAGGGAAAGAAGCTTGAATACCTTTGAGGAGCGTGGGGCTATTAGAATTGCAGATATTGGCCTTGGCGATGTTGGTGCTGGTGACGTTTTTAACGACTTTGACAAGTGGCAGGACGATAAGCTTTGGGCAGGCCTTGGAGGAAAGGCGGACTCTGAAGCCGAGTCTGGCATTGGTATTACAATTGATACAGACTCGAGACGTACCAGACTTCGTCAAGATGTCAAGGAGGCCATTGTTGTCAGCAATGAGCTTTTGACTGCTAAAGGTGAACCCGAGAAGCGCCATATCGTTTTGACGCTTCCCACTGGAATGTCTTACAAGGTTGGCGATTATCTTGCTGTTCTTCCGATGAACAACCAGAAGAATATTCGAAGAGTCCTTAAGTGGGCAAATCTTCCTTGGGATGCAACGCTCACAATCAAACCGGGGACCAATACAACTCTTCCAACAGGTCATCCTATCTCGGCGATGGATGTTTTGGGGGCTTATGTAGAATTGAGCCAGCCTGCCACTCGAAAGGTATGTACTCCAACTGAAGATTTAGATTTGATACTAATGATTGTAGAACGTCATGAGAATCGCTGCTAGGTGCGCAGAAGAAGGAGTAAAGGCAAAGATCCTAGCACTTGCCGGGGATGATTTTGATACCGAGATTACGCTTAAGCGGCGATCTCCTTTGGATCTGCTAGAAGAATACCCATCAGCAGCCCTACCACTGGGCGAATTTTTGGCCATGCTACCACCGATGCGTATTCGCCAGTATTCAATCTCATCCTCGCCCCTCTCTGATCCAGCTATTGCCACAATCACATGGTCAGTCCTCGACACTCCATCAAAAGCAGCTGGATCAAAGCGTTTCTTGGGTGTAGCATCCAACTACCTGTCAGCTGTTGAAGAAGGTGACCATATCCACGTGGCCGTCAAACCTAGTCATGGACTATTCCATCCTCCGGCTGATATTGAAAATACTCCGGTCATTATGATTTGTGCTGGCACTGGTCTCGCTCCGTTTCGCGGCTTTGTCCAGGAGCGCGCGAGGCAGGTCGAAGCAGGCAGGAAACTGGCTCCTGCACATCTTTTCATTGGCTGCATGCACCCAGAAAAAGATGCACTATTCAAAGACGAATTCACAAAATGGGAGCAAGAAGGGGTGGTGAAGATATACTACGCGTTTTCCAAGTGCAAGGAAGCCAGCGAGGGCTGTCGACATGTCCAAGACCGCGTGTGGGCTGAGCGGGAGGAGATGAAGCCCGTGTTTGATTCTGGAGCCAAGCTGTATGTTTGTGGAAGTAGTGGGGTTGGGGTTGGGGTCGCGGCTACGATTAAGAAGATCTATGATGAGGCTGCTGAGG